CGTTTGCGCAAGACGATACACGCGTACGCGATCATTGCCATCTTACCGGGCGGTACCGAGGTCCCGCGCATTCAAACTGCAATTTAAATTATAAAGACTCTTTTTGCATTCCAATAGTTTTTCACAATTTATCAGGTTACGATTCACATTTTATCATCGAGGAAATAGCTACCGCGTTCGAAGGCTCGATCAACGTACTACCGATAACGAAAGAAAAGTATATTTCATTCACGAAACACGTTAAAGATACCGCCGAAAGATCAGATTGGCGAAGCGATATAAAGTTACGGTTCATCGATTCGTACAAATTTCTCAGTACTAGTCTCGAAAAATTGGCATCGTTTCTAAATAATGATAAACTCCAAATTTTAAAATCGAAATTTCAAGATTTATCGACCGAAGAGTTCAATTTATTGACGCGAAAAGGTGTCTTTTCATACGAATACTTTGACTGTGTGAATAGGTTGCACGAAACGTGTTTACCACCGCGCGAATCATTTTACAGTTCCTTGACCGGTGACACCGTATCCGAGAGCGATTACGCGCACGCCGAAAACGTCTGGAGGCGGTTCTCCGTTCGAACGCTGGGCGAATACAGCGACTTGTATTTAAAAACGGATATCTTGTTATTGGCCGACGTTTTTGAAAATTTTGGCGACAAATGTATCGAGAGTTACGGGCTCGACCCCGCGTATTATTATACTCTTCCCGAATACACGTGGGACGCCATGCTAAAACATACAAATATTACGTTCGAATTACTTACTGATATCGACATGGTTATGTTTATTGAACGTGGTATACGCGGTGGCCTGAGCCAATGTTCCGGCAGATACGCGCGAGCCAATAACAAGTACATGCCGTCTTACGACCCATCGAAACTATCGTCGTACATGATGTATTTCGATGTAAACAACTTGTACGGTTGGGCGATGTGTCAACCGTTGCCCTATGCCGAATTTCGATGGGTCGACGACATCTCTGACTTTGACGTTAGCGCGATCGCTTCGGATTCACCCATAGGTTATATTCTCGAGATCGATCTCGAGTATCCGCAACATCTTCACGACGCGCACGCGAACCTACCGTTCTGTCCGACGCGCGATAAGCCGCCCGGCAAGCGGCAGGACAAGTTCCCCGCGACATTATACGATAAAAAGCGTTACGTCATACATTATCGCAACCTGCAACAATGCACGCGTCACGGCCTTCGCGTCGCAAAGTTACATCGCGTATTGCAATTCGCTCAATCCGCATGGCTCCGCGATTACATCGAACTCAACACCCGGTTTAGAACGCGCGCGACAAACGATTTCGAGAAAAATTTATACAAGTTAATGAACAACGCGGTATTCGGTAAAACTATGGAAAACGTGCGCAATCACGTCGATGTAAAATTATTAACAAAGTGGGACGGACGATACGGCGCGGAGGCGATGATCGCGAAACCAAATTTTCACAGCAGGAGCGTCTTTTCGGAAAATTTGGTCGCTGTCGAATTGTGCAAACTCGAGGTGAAATTTAATAAACCGATCTACGTCGGTATGTGCATCCTAGACATTTCTAAAACGTGTTTGTACAAATTTTATCACAAATACATGGTACCGTTATATCGCAAAAATTGTAAATTAATGTACACCGATACAGACAGTTTGATTTATCACATCGAGTGCGAGGATGTGTACGAGAACATGAAACGCGATATCGCTAGATTCGGTTGTAATCCGACACGAGTCGCGGCAACGCGTCAACCCACTTGTAAGTTCCGTTCAGCGTAAACATCTTCCACATGTCGTTCTTTAACGTGCGATTGAATCGACGACCGATGTCTTCAACACCGAATACGTGGAATAATGATTGATGTCGTGTTTTCTCATGAGGCGTTGCACGTCGGTGTTGTAAAATTCCTTCCCCATTTCGGTTTGCATGTTTATCGGGTGCCTCTCGCTATCTCGAATTATCTTTGCGATAGCATCAGCCGTCTCGCTTCCGCCTTTACTCTTGAGCGGTACGGCCCACGCGTACTTGCTCAACACATCGATGACGGTGAGTATGTAGTGGTAACCTCTATTGAAACGAGAGTACGGACGGATTTCGACGATGTCAGCTTGCCACAGCTCATCGTAACCCCGCACTACGACGCGTCTTCGGGGAAAATTTCTTCTCGCCGGAGCATGCAGTTCCTCGACGAGTCGTATTCTCGATATTTTTACGTCCGTCGGATTTTAACGATGTCATGTTTTTAGCTGTGCGGCTGGTCGGCGCGTAATAATATGTGCAAAGAAATTACATTATAATTTATATCTCTAATTTTTTAACCATTCAATAACCGTTTATTCCCGTTCATCGTCTTTCAATAATGGTTCTTTGTCATCCGTCATTCGTCGCCGTTCGTTAGCCATTCGTAGCCGTTCCTGACTCGTTCTTAAACCGTTCCTGATTTGTTCGCAGCCGTTCCTGAGCCGTTCCTGAGCCTTTAGATAACCGCTCGACAACCGTTCCTGAACCGTTCGGCCGTCCTTCAACCGTTCGTAGCCGTTCGTGAACCGTCCGTAGCTGTCCGTGAACCGTTTGTTGTCGTCCATTGTCGTTCGTTGGCGTTTCGTTAACGATTCGTCGTCGTTTTGTTGTCGTTCGTTGACGTTTTGTTAGCGTTTGTTGACGTTTCGTCGTCGTTTCGTTATCGGTCGTTGGCGTTTCGTTAGCGTTCGTTACTCGTTTCTAATCTAGCGATATTCGCACGCCGAAGCTCGTTTACCACAGTCTGTAACGCTCGCACGTCTTTCTCTAACGCGGCAAGCTTCTCGTCTGACTCTTTCAGTTGATTTCTCAACGTTTTAACGCACTGATCCAGGTACAGTTTGTTGACGGCGTCGGTATCAGCCTCAGGTTGCGCTACACAGCGAATCTTGCGCGACCTCGCGTCAAAGTCCGTAACGGTGCGACACAGAGCGTTATCGCGCACGAAATTTCTCATTAATTCGCTCCATCGGCGGTATGAAATGGCGTCAGAGATGCCAATTCTGAGACTCTGCCACAGCCACAGCGTGTGGAGGGGATAATTCACACAAGCGTGAACCGTGTACATGTAATGTGCAGAGCGTTCTAGGTGCGAAGCGTCGAGCAATCGTAAACGATCCACCAGCTCGTTGGGATTGTCCCAGTGCACGTAGTTGATCTTGTTGTCGGTTAGTCATTTCGCGAGGCACGAATAATCTCTTTCCAGATTTTTTTCCCTTGGGTTCGATCGGTATCAGCTTTGCGATTATTTCTTTGTACTTGTACAAAGAACTTGTACCCCTGTTATTCAGTAATCGACCGTGCGCATCGTGATTGCATTTATGCACGCTCGTCGTCAACAGCATACTCTTGTACGTTATCATCCTCCGTATAGATGACATCATCGGGGGCTTTCTTGAAGATCAACTCGTAAAGATCAGGTGTGCCGGCGTATCGTACGCCGTCGATAATTATGTTATCCACGTTATCCACGTCAAAATGTTTATTACCGAACATCATTCCATCGTTATCAAGATAAACACCGTACACGGTGTCAATACCACTCTCTCGATCACCGCTCAGAACAGGCCAGATATACCTTCGACCCAGTGGACCTAACTGATCTCGTAACGTTTCTCGACCCTTCAGCGTTTGCAACTGATTTCGGACGGATGTCATGAGCGAGTCGTCCGTGGTTTCGAAAACATCCTCGTTCGCGAGTAATTCTGACATCGTAGGTTGTACGGTTTTCATTGACGCGGATGGTGTAGAGGTTATCGGCGGTACATCCGGTACAGCGTCCGATCGTTTCGATTTATGCGGTGTCGGTGAGCGACCCGACCTGACATTAGATCGTTTTCTCTTTTGCGGTGTTGCATCATCCTTCTCGCGCTTCAGGATGGATAACGCTTCGATCCCCGCATCGGTGTTACTCTCGGGCTCGTTCTTTACCGCGATGATATCGCGAGAAGGGACCGTTCGAGCGAAAGGTGACGAAGACGAGGCTGTAGAATACCCGATAGTGCTCCGTGCTAATTACAATATGATGAATAGCGAGATCAAGTGCGCTTTCAGAGTAAACTTTAACAAACCCAACAACATTGGATCGCTGCTGGGATTCTCGTTGAAGCGTATATTGCAGCCGGGACAGTGGCACCAATCGGACATACCGATTAATATCATCAACGTAAACATTATCCGCGTAGAGTGTAACGTGACCGCTGGTGCGTACAGCAACGGCAAACGCGTTCATACGATACATGAATTTTCACCAAGCGTGCCGCCAGGATATAAGATATCGGAAACGCCGGCGCAGATCATTTATTTGCCGATCATCGCGCGGAGCATTACGGATCTAACGATACGCGTCGCGGATCAAGACGGACAATTGCTCGATTTTCGAGGAGAAGAGATCACCATCAGATTGCACGTACGACGGCGACAAAATTAGCGTGCGATACATGAGATGCTCGTGTTGAGCGGAGCGAAAGATGTGAGAGACAACGCGAGGCCAGCGACAACAACATCAACATTCGTTAATATTCAATCATCCGGTTGCACCAAGAAAAAGAAACTCAACGCATCAAACGTTGAATTTTTACAATCTTTGGGATTCGCGGTGCGAAATATCTGAGAAAACATGACCGATACCGTTCTGGCGCATTACATTTTTACATACCCCCTACCATGGAATCTCCTCACAAAATCCGACAAATCATGTGCTTCCTGGCTGATCGCAAATCACCATGGATTACGATGGGAAGTCGGAAACGTGTCGTACAGCATGGCTAAATGCTTGATTACATCGGCCGTGCTTGGTACAGAAGAGGATGACGAGACGTCGACTTTCGTGTAAAACTCAACGCGTCGAACGTTGAATTTTTACAATCTTTGGGATTCGCGGTGCGAAGTATCTGAGAAAACATGACGAAGGCGAGCCGGTCTTTGACGATCGTATCGTCAAGATCGAGACTCACACGTACAACCCGTACGCCAACACGATGTTTGAGTATAGCGACGAGATACGAATACCCATACAACAACAGGATCTGTATACCTTGCCGTATGAGAGTTTTCTATACATCGAGGGAAAACTAAAGATAAACAAACCAGCTGAAGGATCTAATGTGGTACTGGGAAATAATTGCGTCGCGTTTATGTTCGATGAGATCCGATACGAACTCGACGGTGTGGAGATTGATCGTAACAGAAATGTGGGAATAACTAGCACACTCAAGAACTATGTAACGATATCATCCGATAAAACCGTGATTATGAGGAACGCCGGCTGGAATGCGCAGACTAACGCGAATGGATACATCAATTTTTGCGTACCGCTCTACATGTTATTGGGATTTTGCGAGGATTACAGACGCGTGGTGATTAACGCTCGTCACGAGTTGATCTTAATACGATCGCGCAACGACAACAATTGTCTGCTTGGAAATTTGGCGCTGGAGCCTGCGATCAATATATTCAAGATACAATGGCGAATGCCACACGTGGTATTGAACGAGATCAATAAGCTGTCGATGCTGCGCGCCTTGGAAAGCGGACGATACCTCAGCATGGGTTTTCGCTCGTGGGATCTGTACGAATTTCCGCTATTGCAGCGTACAACCAAGCATTCGTGGCCCATTAAAACCGCGACTCAGCTGGAGAAGCCGCGATACGTTGTCTTCGTTCTGCAGACAGGCCGGAAGAACGTCATGTCCGAGGATACGAGTCGATTCGACGATTGCAAATTGACCAACGTGAAACTCTATCTGAATTCGGAATGTTATCCGTACGACGATATGAATCTAGATTTCGATAAAAACAGATGGTCGATTCTGTACGACACGTACCAGCGTTTCTGCAAAAACTATTACGGATACGAGTATCTCGAGCCGAGTCTCGCAGTCACGCAGTTTCTGCTTAACGGTCCGTTCCTGATCATTGATTGCTCTCGACAAAACGAATCGGTCAAGAGCGCAACCGTGGATGTGCGATTGGAATTCGAGTGTAAGGAGAACGTGCCGCCGAATACCACTGCGTACTGTCTCATCATACACGATCGCGTGATTCAGTACAACCCGTTGACCAACGTTGTGCGCAAAATCACTTAAGTGTGTGGGATGAGATGATATAAAACCAATAATGCATCAGGATCAATTACAGTCTTCTTCTTTTTCTCGACGTGCTGATATAAAAAGAAAAACGTTATGTCCATACCAACGTTCGTGGACCTACAAGGATTCTTCGTCGGGATGAAATTTGTCGTAAAGGAGGTGGCGGTGCTGAGAAAGGGGACCGTTCTGGCGCATTACATTTTTACATACCCCCTACCATGGAATCTCCTCACAAAATCCGACAAATCATGTGCTTCCTGGCTGATCGCGAATCACCATGGATTACGATGGGAAGTCGGAAACGTGTCGTACAGCATGGCTAAATGCTTGATTACATCGGCCGTGCTTGGTACGGAAGAGGATGACGAGACGTCGACTCTCGTGTACGTCAAGGGATGCCAGAAACGAGAATGGCTGGTGGATTTGCTTGAGAATCTTGCGAGAGAAAATTTAATCATCGAGACTTTGGATGCTGATTACGAAGATATTGAATCTTTAAATAATCTAGATGTTACTAATACTATACGATGCGGAAAACATGTTAAGAATTGCGCATTACAGAATGTATTTAGCTGGTTTAGCTGGTGGTCGCAACGCCAAAAAAAATTGCAATATTTTTATAAATAAAAAGTGTAAACGTATATAATGTTTTTTACTCCCCACTCCCGCCCGCGCGGGACCCCCCGTCCCTCACCTCCCCTCGGAGGACCTGGTTTAGAACCCGCATATTAACACTACTGTCAAAAAACCGGACACATTCGTATTCTCCCCACTCCTTTCCTCGCAAGTCGTTTCTAAGAATTCTTTTTAACGTTGACCGTTTCCTCTTCTCCTAAATTTTCAGAGCAATAATCTTCCATCGCATCATACGTTGACCGTTTCCCCTTCTCCTAAATTTTCAGAGCATTGATCTCCCACCACATCATACTTTTGAAAAATAAGCGTCACGTATATTCGATTAATTTGTATACGATCAGTGTCGTGTCAACTGCTAGTACCAACAGTCCACTTCTCATAACCGAGAGACAAAATGTACTCCGCTGAAGGAAGCACCAGCAACGGTTGCAAACGCGTGAATTATTACGTTCCACGAGACGAAATTAAGCCGTGCAAGAAACCACGAGATGAAATTAAGCCGTACAAGAAACCACTTGATTTGCAAGTATCACAAATGTTTCATACATATATATATATATTTTCCATATATGTTTTTTCCATGCTATTTTATATTTTTTGTATTTTTCAGATGCGATAAACCTCGTTGTATCAAAATTATAATATATTATAATATACTATACATAGTTAATGTAATATAAAATAAAAAATGCTACTTACTCTCTGGTATACTACTAGATTCAATAGGGCTCTTAACAGCCCCATCGCCAAATCCTCCGCCCACCATGCCGCGTTCCATTCGCCCGCGACGCAACACAGCATCAATCAGCGACGGCATTTAAAAAATTTTTTTAATCACTTTAAACACTAACTTGTTGGACTGGCAAACGTTCGCTCTGGTAACTCGGACGATACTATCCTGTCGCATCGGAAAAATCCAGATCTGCTGCGGCAATGTTTATTACTGGCGCGTTCAAGTGTGTCGGAGAGCACGGGCGAAGGAAAAGCACTTGACTTTTCTTCGCGCGACCAAAATTTTTCGTTATGCACTTTTGACACCTGTTAAACTTATTTTTAAATCTAAAAGATCTCGTATGCGCGAGCGGCTCCTTCTGGAAAAAAATGAAGAGACCACCGCGATGGTTCTATTTTGTTTATAATAAATTATAGCAGCCGGACATCGGCGCTAGCCTTAACATCTTTCTACGAAATTCAATAATGCCGCACGTGCAATAGTGCAGTGTGAGACGATATTTGTTTATAATGTTTATAAATTCGAGCAGCCGGACATCGGCACACGTCCTTTGTAATATACCGCTGTTTATGCTCCCGCAATAAGCTCCCCCGCCCGCGTGACGTCATTCCCCCGCGCCACGAAAATCCCCCTCCGCCCGCGTGACGTCATTCCCTCTCGCCCGCGCGGGACCCCCCGTCCCTCACCTCCCCTCGGAGGACCTGGTTTAGAACCCGCATATTAACACTACTGTCAAAAAACCGGACACATTCGTGACGAATGCTGGAGTTTGAACGGTAAACCGAAAACTGATACAAATAAACTAAAAGATGGTAACCAGAAAAAACGCGAAGAAAATACACGCGACCGAAAGAAACTGCGACAACAAACGCGAGATTCCGAGTCCGACGGTAACAACAGCGAAGACGATAAAAGCGAATCTAAAAGGAAACAACCGCGACCCACGTCCGAATATCGCGTTACGCATATTAAAGATATGCCGCGCACACAGAAGAAAACAGATTTATTGTTAGTAACACTATCCATGCGACAAGCAAAGGATGAAAAAATACAGATGTTATACGATTCAGGATCGACCATCTCGTTAATAAAATTAAAACGATTAAAAGACGACACCCTCATATACGAGGATAAGATCGCGCTCACCGGCATAACCGGACATAAAGTACACACAATAAAAAAAATATACGCCACAATTAAAATAGATCAATATAAAATAGAACATGCATTTTATGTAGTAAAAGATGACATTCCGATCGAATACGAAGGGATTCTAGGGATTGATTTCCTCCGACAACACTCAGTATCCTGCGACTACGAACAAAACCAACTAAAAATAAAAGACGCCGTGCTCAAATTCCATTCATTTAATAACACAATTCTAAAACCGCGCAGCAAAACCATCGTAAAAGCGACAACGAATCAAAATCGGATAGGAATAGTACGAGCAGAAGAAACAGCTCCAGGAATCTATATCGGAAATTGCTTAGTAGAACCAAAAGATTACACGTGTCACGTTAGTGTAATGCATACGACCGATACAGAAGTCGAAATACAGACGCCGCATGTTGTTCTCGAAGATGTAGAATACGACCGAGAATCCGAAATACACACTATACAAACGAGAAAAAATGTTAAACTTACTTCTTCACGATACTCGCAAATTTGACAACTACTACGAACACAGCATTTAAATTCAGAAGAAAAACAGGCACTCTTACGGATATGCGAAGAATATTACGATACATTTCAGTTGGACGGAGAACCACTGACGTGCACCGCGACGGTAGAGCACGAGATAAACACGCGCGCTGACACCTCACCGGTAAACACGAGACCGTATCGTCTTCCGGAAAGGCATAAGACGGAAGTAAATAAACAAGTGCAAAAAATGTTAAAAAACGGCATAATCCGAACAAGCGCGAGTCAATGGAACGCACCCCTATTAGTGGTACCGAAAAAAGCCTATGCATCTGGAAAACCAAAGCTCCGAATAGTAGTCGATTTTCGGAAGCTAAATGATCTGACGATAGGCGACTCATTTCCACTGCCCAACATCACCGATATATTGGACCAGTTAGGAAACGCCAAATATTTCACTACCTTAGATTTGGCATCAGGATATCACCAGATACCGATGACCGAACGAGATAAAAATAAAACAGCATTTTCAACGCCCTACGGACATTACGAGTTTAATAGAATGCCGTTTGGACTAAAGAATGCGCCAGCAACATTCCAGCGATTGATGAATTCAGTTTTGACAGGAATACAAGGACTAAAATGTTTAGTTTACCTGGATGACATCGTTATATATGGATCAAGCTTAGAAGACCACAACAAACGACTCAAAGAAGTACTACAGAGACTTCGAGAAAATAATCTAAAATTGCAGCCGAATAAATGCGAATTTTTACGCAAGGAAGTGATTTATCTAGGTCACATTATTTCGGAGGATGGAATATCTCCGGATCCGTCAAAATTAACGGCAATAAAAGAATTTCCGACGCCAAAGAAAGTGAAGGATATACAATCTTTCATAGGACTAGCCGGATATTACAGAAAATTCATAGAAGACTTCTCAAGAATAGCCAAGCCACTGACTAAATTAACGAAGAAAACAGAAAAATTTGAGTGGACAATGGAACAGCAAAATGCTTTTGAAATATTAAAAGAAAAATTAATGACGACGCCAGTGCTAAAATATCCAGACTTTACTCAAGAATTTATAGTGACCACCGATGCCTCCGACTATGCAATCGGAGCAATATTGTCACAAGGAAAAGTAGGCAATGACCGGCCAATTGCTTACGCCAGCAGAGTTTTATCGCGGGCGGAGCAGAATTATAATACAACAGAGAAAGAATTATTAGCAATTGTATGGGCTGTAAAACATTTTAGGCCATACGTATACGGTACGAAATTCAAAATTATAACCGATCATAAACCATTAATCTGGTTATTTAATATAAACGATCTCGGATCGGGATTGATCCGATGGAGGTTAAAGCTCGAAGAGTATGATTATGAAATCATTCATAAAGCCGGACGAGCGAATGCGAACGCCGATGCACTGAGCCGCAATGTAAAAAGAGACACACATGAAACAGAAGA